GGCGCCGCGCCACGACTCCTCCTACGGCACCTTCGCCGGCGAGTTCTACGACCTGCGCTACCTGTCCGAAGAGGGTGAGGCTGTGGGAGGGTGAAGGGCTGCGGAAGGTGAGGCCTTGGGTTGGAGGTCCGGCAAGAGCGGGGGTTGTGGGTGGAAGTAAGGATGGGAACCGAGGCAGCTCTGACGCAGCCGAGGCCGGGATGGAGAGCGCACTGCTCAGATCCCCACCGGCCTGGAGGAAGGGTCCGGCTTGCTGTCAGCGGCTTCCACCTGCTACTGCTTTACAGGTGAGGCGACTGAATCTGGGAGCGGGAGGTGGTCACCCAAGTCCTGCGATCCTGCGGACAAGTGGTGCTGCGCTAAGCTCCCCCAGTTCCCAGCATCTACGCCTACCGGGGGCGGGCGTAGTAGAAGAGGAGGCCGCCATCTGGCCTAGAGTGTGTGAGACCAGGGCCCTCAGAGGATGGAGGGAGTTGTGCTTCAGGGCTGGCTGTTGCCGTGGCTGACTCCTCACTGGCCAGAATGTTCATAGGACCAGCTGGTGGGAAGCAGAAACCCAGATCCCGACCCCAACTTAAAGATAGATCCTCCCTTATTTCCTTTCTGTCTGTATTGACCAGAATTGCTAGCTCCCCAACGTTAGCATTCTATTCCTGCTCATTACCCCTGCATCAGCTCTGGGTCACATCTGCTCATTCCCATGCCATCTCTTTTCTGTCACTACACATGTTATAGTCCCCTGGTGTGAGCCACCTTTGCTGGGGCCTGCTGTGCCCAGAGAATGGGGGTTTGTCAACCACTGACCTCCCTGCAAAGCTGCTTCTGTGAGCACAAAAGTCAAAGCTGATTCTGTTCATAAGGAATGGAAACTGGTCTCTTGCTTCTGCAACTTTAAAAGTAGTGATTTTTATTTTCTTCTGTTAAGAGTGATATGTCCAAGAATCAAGTTGGGATTTGAAATGTGTGTCCCAGCAACTGGTATGATGCTGGGTGTATCTGTTAGTTAGGATTAGGTTCAACTACAGATAACAAACATTGATAAATAAGATAGAAGTTTCTTGCTTATGTAAAGAAATCTAGAAGTAGGCAGTTCAAAACTGTTATGAAAGTTCCATGGTCATCAGGGACCCTGGGTCCTGCTATTTTGCTTCTTCACAATTCTTAGCATATAACTTCATGGTCCAAGATGGCTACTTGAGCTCCAGTCATTGCATCCATATTCCAGGCAGGAGAGAAGAGGAACACGAAGAAGAAGTTATCAATTATTTATAAGGAGATTACTCAGAAGTTTCATATTAACAATTCTGCTTACATTTCAATGGCCAAAATTTAGTTATATAGTCACGTATAGGTGCAAAGGAGGCTGGAAAATATAGCTTTTTATCTGGGAAGCAATGTGCCCAGTTCATATATTGGAATTATTGTACTAAGGAACATGGAAAGAATGGATATTGGGAAGTTTATTAGTTGAGTAGATGCTTAATTGCTGAAACAGAGGTCCGAGCATACAATGGCTTAAGTAAGGTAGTTTATTTTTCTCTCACTTAAGAGTGGCTGATCTGGTCTGATGGTACAGCTTTGTTCCAAAGTGTCATTCAAGGACTCAGGTTCCTTCCATCTTACTGCTCCGCCATCCCCTAAATCTTTGTCATCATCTGCGTGATGGAAGTTGGGTCACTTGCATGTCCTTGTTCAAGCATGGTTCAAGCTTGAGAGAAGAGGAAACAGGATTTTCAGAGTGAGAAATTACCTTTTAGGCTAGTTGCACACAGATCACGGATGCTCGTATTGACTTAGCTGCAAGGGTTGCTGGCAAATGCAGTCTTCTAGCCGGGCAGCCAGGTGGACAGGGAGAAGTTGAGAATGGGAGTGAGGAGAAGACAAGGAAGAGACAACAAATAGAAGCAGAATTCATCATTCTGGAAAAGAATAAGTATTCCAAAGCCCATTGAGTTGCCAGCTGACTAAAACATGGCATGTGAGAGTTTATCTGCTGATTGAGTACGTGTACTTAAGAAATGAAGAACAAGGTCAGAGTCTATGTGTCAGTTTGTATATTTAGAGAGGATGAAGTGCTAATTGTATCGTTGAGACAGTTCTATGAATATGGACATCAGAGTGGGTTGTAGCCATCAAGGGAGGTTTTAGAGAGCCCAGCTGGAAAGTATGGAAGACTCTGGAGAGACAGAAGGGAGGGGACATTTCGGGTGAGGTGACTGCGCAGGGGCAGCAGGGCATGCAGTGTGTGCATAAAAATCCCGTGTTTGTCTGCTTGCTGCTTCTACCCTTTTTGCACATACAACCAACCTAACCTTTCTGAGGCCTGGCTCAAACCCTGTTGCTGTTGCGCTTAAAAATTTGTGATGATTCCAACCTGCTCCCTAAATGAAGCTTCTTTCAACTCCTTTATCTAGAAGTTTGGCTCTGGCTCAGCTTCCTTTTACAACCATCTCTCACTTTTCCCTCCACTCTGAGCTTTAACTGTCTATTTTTCTCCTGCTCTTTGACAGTTTTGCTTCCTCTTCAGATGCAGATCCTGCTACCGTGGGTGCTGGTGGGATGTTTGTGGGGTGGGCCTCTCAGGGCAGTACCTCTGTTAGATCACCTTGGGCTTGAGTTTTGGCTCTGTGGGTCTTGAATAGACACTTTATACATGTAATTTATCTTTGTATCCTTAATGAAGGAGCCCTAGTGGCACAGTGGTTAAAGCGCTCAGCTGCTAACTAAAAGGTCGGCAGTTCAGACACACTGGGGGCTCCAAACGCAATGGGGGCTCCAAACGCACTGGGGGCTCCGTGGCAGAAAGATGTGGCAGTCTGCTTTACAGCCTTGGAAACCCTGTGGGGGCAGTTCTACTCTGTCCTGTAGGGTCACTATGAGTCCGAAGTGACTTGTCGGCAGTGGGGTTTTTTTTTTTTAATCTTCATGAATCTAGCCCAATAATTGGAGCTAACTTTTAATAAGGGCTTACTACGTGCCATGGCTTACTAAGTACCTGATCTAATCCATATTAACTATTTAATCCTTAAAAAAAACCCTGTGAGTTAGATACTACTATTATCCCCACTTTAGAAATAAGGAAACTGAGCCACAAAAACTTAAAGGCCTTAGCTAAAGTCACAAAGCTAGAAGGTAGGAGAGAACTGTGTGGGTTTGTTGATTGACTTTAAGGATAACGTGATGCAAGGTGTCCAGCCTACATGGAGTGGAGGGTCCATATTGACATCATTGGGAAATGCAGTTGGACAGGCAGAGTCAAAGGTGTGAGGGCGGGCAAAGGGGGGCACTTGCCCACACCCTCTCGCATGTCCAACGAGTCGCCAGTGGTGTCCGTAGGCGGGTATGAGGGGTGCGGACCACACCGGATGACACTGTCAGAGGGGGTAACACCACGCGGTTCAGAGATAAGTCCAAGACCAAACTCTGCAGGACTTGAGCAGCTCCAGAAAGCCTGTGCTGCTGTCTGCTCTCGAGGTCGGCCAGGGTAATTCACCCGGATTCGCTGCTCCCACCGCCGCGCCCCTGGAGCCTCCCTGTCAGCCAGTCGAGCCCTGGACGTGGGTGCGGCGGGAAAAGGCGCGAGGGGCCGCGGGAGCGCTGGCTTCGCCTTTTCGTGGCTGCTGTCAACGCCTATACTTCATGAAATTTGGCAGGGGAGGGGTGGGTGGGTGTGGCAATTTAGAGATTGCCCCTAGGCACTAGAATGGGGAGGGTGCAGTTTAGAGATTGCCCCTGGGCCTGATTACCCAATAAGCAAGGTGAACCGGGCCCCATTGTGCTTTCCCATCAGTCTGCAGTGCACAGTTTCACCTGCCAGAGACGTGGTGAAACCCATGTGAAATTGCTCACCACAAATTAGCAAATACATACAATTGAGCTGGTTTGTACCTTCCTCCATGCAAGCCGGAAGGTGCTTAGTAGTTAATGGGCCCCTGGTATGCCCCTGGGCAGACTTAGGTGTTTTTATGAGTGAACTTGAAGGGTTTGGACTTGATAGGCAGTTGGATCACTACAGGTTCCCAGCCAGTGTGGAATGCCACGATGAAAGCTGTGTTAAACAGGCGTTCATGTTTGTGTGGAGCTTGACACTATACAAAGTGTCTTGACATATTTACTTCATTATATGACTCTGATAAGTAGATGCAATTATTCAGGCAGTCTAGAAAGAGAAAAGAGGCTGATGCAGTTAGTTCTCAGAGATTTGAAGGGAATAATGTGACCAGACTATTTCTGGTTAAAACTTCAAGGAATCAAGTACTAAATTAATACCTGAAGGCCGTGATCCAAGGAATTAATTAGAAGCAATAAATAGCAAATGAAAAACCATTAACCATCCAATGGAGTATGGCAAAACAGGCTCAAGGGATTGCAAAAACGGAACAGATAGTTTCTACGAATTATACAATAATGGAACCACAAAACCATATTGAGAACCTGGAAAATCAATCAAGAAAATAAGTACCTCTCATGCTATAAGAATATCTGAAGGGAGAAAAGGATAAGAGAGAAGTGAGGGGGAGAAAAGAAATGGTTCTAATTATTCTCCAAAACAGAATAGTTGCTGAAAAAGTTTATACAGCATATGAGAGAAGAAGGAAAGAGATGTCTTCATACAGTTGGAAGGCCTACAGAAATCATGTAGTCTCAGACCAGTATTAGTCTCAATACAGGTTTGCATTTTAGAGAGAAAAAAGCACCATCAAAATGGAAAGTCAAAAAAAAAAAACCTAAATAAATAATGAAAACTGGGAGAGTGGACAGAGCTAAAGGGAGAGGGAGAAGCTGGCCATGTCTGGGTGGTTCGACCCATATAGCTCTAGGCTAAGGAAGACAAGTAAGTGTAGGGGAGATAGAATGGTGTGGATGGGGAAATAGGTCTTTAATTAAGCAGTGGAGTGACAAGATCACATTCTGTTTTAGAAAGATGGTACACGGAGGAAGGGGTCAAAGTGAAACTGGGGAACCAGATCGAAGCCTGCACAATAGTCAAAAGCTGGACAATAAATTAAAAAGTCTGAAGAAGAATTGACACCTTTGAATTATGGAGTTGGCGAAGAACATTGAATATACCATG